TCATTTAGGAGCATACATTTTGGTTTGTTTTTTTATCATTCAGTTTTGTTCCGTAAATGGCATGATTTTTTTCTGATAACCATAAACTTTGAATTTTTTTTACAAATCCCAAAACATAGCATAGAAGCAAGAAAAGCAACGTAATTTAACTACGTAAATTCAATTTTTTAGCTCTTACCTTCAAACTAACTTATATATCTGTATGCATTCTGCTTTAAAATACATACGTTTTAACTTCCTTACATAAGGTACTATTCTTTTTCCTGTAAATACGGGAAATACCAAACATGCACATCGGCAACATTTTTATAAGCATATTTTAAAAAAGTCCTCCAAAACTGGCAAAAATTTACATCTGAGTGGTTCAACCTTCAGAGATATCTATAAAATGAGTATAAATTAAAAGAAAAAAAACTTTGCATTTTAACCCTTTTTATCCCACAGAAACCTGACAAATGGTTGCTGTAAAGTCCCCTTTCTTCTGAGATTTTATAGACTTTGCAAATACAAATGAACTCTTACTCTATCATGCCATCTAACTTCGATATCTAAAGTCCTAGCACATAACGACCAAAATAAAAGTTTGAAATTTTTTGTAAAAGTGTGTCAAACCCCAAGGTCAAGGTCAAAAGGTCAAAATTGGTTGTACACAAAAAAGGTCTTGTCACAAAAATACACCTGAAACATGAAAGCCATAGTCCCACCAGGTCGAAAGTTATGGGCAAGGTTCAAGATTTTGCAGACAAATAAACAAAGAGACAGACGGATGGACAGGTTAAAAACTATATACCCCCCTTCCCGAATCTTTGTTCACGGGGCAAAAGAATAATATGTAAAGTATCAACTTTTTCATAATCCAACATTTGTTTTGCTTTTTTTCTGCTGGTAAATAACTCCTAAAATCATCACATGTAAGGACATGTACATGTAGAACGAGGAAAACGATACTACATGTGCCAATTTAGGAAAGACAAGCACTTCTTTTTATTTCTTTTTTTAGTTAATCATGTTTTTTGCTACAACCCCCATTTTGTTAAGATTTTGTTGACACCAGCCAACGACAAAAGACATTTTATAGGTTTTGAGCTAACCACTTTTTGTTTCCTTTGTATCATAGGTCGTACTTAATTTCGTACTTATTTTTACAAATTAATTCATCTTTTTTTTAATGAGAAGTTTGAAACTCCATTCATAGAAAACCAAATATTTTTATAAGACCTATTTTTTTCTAAGCTTTTTTTCGCGCCAGTTTTAAAAGTAGGGATCAAAAGCATAAGGTTGCTTGATATTACCCGTATACATTCGCCTAACAAGAATATTCCAACCAAAACGAGAGTTTTTGCATAAAAAAAATGACAAGGGGTCATTATTCTACGGGGGTCATTTTTCTACAATACACACGGAGAAAAACGACCTCAAGGCCATAATTTCCACAGAAAAGTGGGTCATTTTTCTACGTAGAATATTGACATGGGGGTCAAATTTCTACGTAGAAAAATGACCCCGGGTCAATATTCTACGGGGGTCACTTTTCGTCCTTACACCGGTCGGCAGAGGATGCTCACCCCTCCATCGTACACGATGCCACTTCTGAAGTTTTAGAGGTCCATATTTGCCATGCTCCTAATATTTGTATATTGACATTGACAGATATATGAAAGGATCATCTATCTATCTTTGAAAAATCAGTTATATTGCCTAGAATTGAAAATAAAAAAAAAACAACTGGTAAGTGATTGAATGTTTAAATAAAAATGAAATGAAATAATCCGAGATTTTGATAAGAAAATGATATTGATTTACACCACTTTTAAAATAAACTGTAAAATAGTTTGTCTGAAGGTTCTCCTTTACAGCAGTTCTAATTTTCTGTAAGGGGGTAGTGATGAGGGCTCGATAGGTCATTTGCTGGATCCAGGAATTCATCTTTGCTTTGAAGGATTTTTAAAAAGAATCCAGACAAGTACGTTAGATTGAAAACACTTTGGTTGACCAGTATATTAAAAGTAGTTACTGAAATGTAGTTCTAAAGAATTCCTTCTTTGAAAAGTGTACTTTGAGAATATATAAGAATTAAAACCAAGTACTTCCAAAATACAGTTTTATATATTAATGAGCCTTACCAACAAAGACGGCAAAGGGACATTTTATGATTCGTTTAAAGCTATACATATGGCGTATCTAAACTAAAAAAAAATCAAGAATGGATAAAATGTATCAGATCCATGTTGAAATCGAGAATTAAAAGATTGAGGGGCAATATGAAAACCATCTATCCTTTCGTATTCAATAATTCAGAAATGAAAGGAGAATTAGATAGATCACATGATCAGTACGTACTGGTCCCTGCTGACAAAGCAGGTAACAACATTGTCTTTGTTTGTAAGGCTTATTATATAACTTGTATTTAGGAGAACTTGGATTTAATTAATTTTACAAGTGGTAATCCAACTTATACTCATAGTTCCCATTCTAAGGAAGAAATTCTTCAAAATCCTACGTCAGTTTTGAATAAATTTAATATCCCGAAGAACCAAAATTCCGAAACTTCATAAGAATCCTTACAAACAAAGATACATTGCGGGTTCCAGTAAATGTTCAACCAAGCCTCTTTCTTTATTCCTCACTAAGATATTGACAGTAGTGAAGAAAAAACTTCAAGAGTACTGTGCAACGAATATATTCAAAAAGTAGTATGAATCAGATGTGGATAATCAAAAATTCTAAAGAACTTTTGGACAATTTGAAATCAAAAGATTTTACCAAAATCAACAGCTTAAAAACTTACGACTTTTCAACTTTATACACAACCATTTCCAACGATAAATTAAAGTCCAGGCTTTTTGATGTCATTGAATGCTCCTTTTTCAATAAAATTTGAACTTGTAAATTTACTTACCTTGTCATTGGTCATTTGCAAAATTATTTTTTTAAACCACATTCTGATTGCACACACAAGTACTCTGAAGTTGACATAAAAAGATGCTTGAGTTTCTGATTGACAATATCTATGTGGTTTTTGGAGACCAGGTCTTCCGACAATCTATTGGAATCCCCATGGGTACCAATTGCGTTCCGTTATTAGCAGACTTATTTTTGTATTCATATGAAGCAGAATGTATGCAAAATCTTATGCGTGAAAAACTTGCTGTGGCCTTCAACTCAACATTTAGATATATCGAAGACGTATTGTCAGTTAACAAAGGTAATTTCCATTCCTACGTCGATACGATATATCCTGACCACGTGAGCTTGAGATAAAAGATATCACAGAGTCTGACACATCTGTTTCATACTTGGATATTTTACTTGAAAAAGACGTTAATGGTAATCTGAAACCAAGCTCTGTGATGACTTTAACTTTTCTATCGTAAACTTCCCTTACTTATGCAGCAATATACCTTCATCACCTGCATACTGTGTTTATATATCTCAGTTGATTTCATGCGCAAGAGCATGCTCTTTGTAAGAACAATTTCTAAAACAATTGAAAAACAAGTTGATGAAACAAGAATGTCACCAATCTCATTTACAGTCATCTTTCCGTAAGTTCTATGGTCGATACAATGACCTTGTCAGCAAATATCAGCAAATACAATTTATCATTGAGTCAAATGCATATGCTGACTGACGTTTTTCATACTTATTGTTAGCTCATTATTTATGCACCGAATTCACAACGGATTTTTTCCATACCGATCATGATAAGGAACACACGGTGTGACCGGTCAGCAGGGATGCTCACTCCTCCATGGCACTTAATCCCATCTCTGATGTTTGAAAGGTCCGTGTTTGCTCTGCTTGTTGTCCGTGTTTGCTCTGTATTGTTTTCATGAACATTGATATTGAATACTGTTCGCTATCTCCATATCCTTATTAATTAATTATTACGCAAGATTTAATATGTAGGAAACATTTAGCTTTTATTATTTGATTTTTTTTCATATATAAACTTTATTCAGTGTATTATACATTTGTACATATCTCAAAGCTTATGTTTTTAGAGCAGTTTAAGGATCCTCTCTACACAAGTGCGATTTTTTTTTTGGACATTGAGAAAAATGTAGTGTATAAAGGAGTTAATATTGAGCTTATTTATTTAATTTTCAATGTATTGTGCTTGGTATTTACCCCCGGGAAAAAAGTTCAAAGACAACACAGTATCAGTGAATAGAGATCACTGTTAATTACTTCATTAGAGATAATACATGTAAATAACACCTTCAGTTCATTTATTTTGGTCTTTTGAAATGTTGAGAATACTTGAATTAATTACAAATTGAGTAATATAGTGTAAATTTCTATTTTTTAGAATTTAGATCTAAGGGCAGATCACTCTAACTCCAGAAAAATACCTTAGAATCAGAACTCTTTGGTGTGCAGTGAAGAGAGGGTTCTTAATTTTTTTCTCTTATGATTTATGGAAAGAAAAGTGCATATGTTTTTCAAAAGAATCGAACTTAAGAAAGATTTTTCTTAAGATCAAAAGGAAATTAAAAGTCCCAAAATCAACTCTTTATGATTTAATATCCGAATATTGATGAGAGAGAGAGAGAGAGAGAGAGAGAGAGAGAGAGAGAGAGAGAGAGAGAGAGAGAGAGAGAGAGAGAGAGGGAGAATTAATATACCTGTATTGACACAGAATGGGACTTTCCAACATTAGGGGGCTTATAAATTAACTTTCAAAGAGTTTCCGAGAACCGAGAAGAGTCGGTTTCGGTTTATTTTCGCTGAAACTAGAAAAGTGGAAAAGTAAATGGTGATAAAAACAATAAATAGAGCTTTAATAAACAAAAGATAACTTACACTGTTATCTAAGTTTCAGATGATCAAATGTGTAATAAAAAAATAAAATGTGCGAAACAATAAAGCTAAATATATTTATTAAATATCTATTGAGTACAAAGATATAATATAATAATTGCTTGATTGGGGTTGCATATCGGTTCAAACTTGGTTGGAAACCAATGGAATTGAATATATTTATAGGTACATGTAATCTTTTTCCAGTTTTAAAATTAGAAATTTATTTGCAATCACTTACGTAACTTAATATATATGAATATATAACTGCAAACTTGAACAAAAGTGGATATAACTAGATTATTTTCTACGAAAGAAGAGGTGAGTTTCACTATACTGACAATATACTTTGATTAAAATAGCACAATTTCTCAATATTTTTTAAATTTTAACATAATTTTAGCTGTATGTTTTGTGTTACCATTTTACATTTTCCCCGTGCAAATAATTGATACATAAGAAAAAAACCATTAGAGCTTTGGTTACTTATTTAATTGCAGGAATATTGTGAGCCATGAGTTCCAAGATCGACCGTTTACGAATAGTCAGTATGAACGCTGCTGGTAGGAACGGAAGGAAGTTCGTCCTCCAGCATCTGATTGAGAAAGAAAAGCCTGAAATAGTATTCCTTCCGGGAGACAACTCAGACAACTCAGGACTTGGCACCTTAACACAGACCAGATATAATCACCTGTTAGACCCCGCCTTCAATGAGCCAGTTTTCCTGTATGATTCCACGCGACTGAAAGTCAATCAACTTCCGGCGAGATCGCAGTCCTATCATCCTGTTTGTGACTTTGACAGAGTTCTAGCACCTCTGATAGATATTAACTCGCCGGCCCCGGCTCAAAACGTCGTGAAGCAGTTCATATGCATTAACTGGCACCGGAGATTGTCTGAGAATGGAGGATCGCAAGTTCTGTATGAAAATGGAAGAATGTATATGATGTTTGCTCAGAATCTTGCCTATTTTACCGGAAAAGAGGTTTTGATAGGTGGCGACTTTAATTTACCGCTGTCAAAAATTAAGGAACTGATCGAAGAACATAACAGTTTGGTCCAGCAAGGCATCGACAGCGTAAAACCACAGTTTAAGAAGTTTGGTTACATGTATTGTATGACTGAAGAAATCCTTCGACCTGAACGAAGACTTCGGCAATTAACATTACACAAGAGCAACAGTTTGAATTCAACAGAAACGAATTACTTTGTTGCCTCCAAAGAAATGCAGCTACAGGAGACCAGACATGAAAAGATAGAAAGTCTCTCATACCGATACACCAGTCTACAATTACAGGGAAGACAGGAGAAGGGTGACTGTCCAGAACCGACTTACACCAAGACTCAAATGTATATACCACAAAGGCCACCAAAACACCACGGGGGTTAAAAAAAAAACAAAGTTTATCTGTCAAAATCTATGAAATTTATGATTTAAAATTGATGGCTAGAAATTTATATTGTAGAAGCAATTGTGAATACATGTTGTAAGACCTAAAAAAAATAAACATTTCTATTTGATTTTATAACATTTCAGTAATAAAAGTGTTGTGTTTAGCTTGTAGAGGTTTAGCATTGTGGCAATCTATATTTATACATGTAAATTGATTCTTAAAATAAAAAAAGTAGAACATCAAATAAGTTATCCTGATTTTTGTGATTGTAGTAAAATTCATTGTTTATTTACAGCTTTTAGTCATAAAGTCTCTTTTACTGAGGTGGAAATAGAAATTGAAATATGAATTAAGAAGAAAAAAGTAATGTGAATTGGCAATTTATTTATTACTTACATTGTTTTGAATGAAAGACTTTCCTTGGTATCCATACACGAAGAAAATAGCCCAGCAAACAAGGAACAGTCCATACTCAATTTATCAAATGATTCCCAAGGAAACCGCAAACGATTGATTTAGGGTCAGACCCTAAAGACCTTATACATGTACTGAGAACAGACTCAGAAAGTCAATATTTTGATTTTGAATATTTTTCTTTTATTTTTGTTCAATGTATTTGCATAAAAATTTGGTATAACATTTTAATTCAAACTTATGACGGTAACTTTGTCTCATTCTCAAAATTATTTCAGGAGTTATTTTGATTTGAAATTTTGACTTTATTCCTTTCTCACTGGAGCCTGATCTCAGTAAGAAATTGCTGCATTTTAAAGACGTACTTCAAACTACATGCACAAGAAATGCAATTCTTAAAAGAATGTTTCTTCTGGCTGACTTATCTTAAGAAAAGTTTATGAAAATGGGGATACCGAAAAATATTTAAGCTCAAAAGTCCATAAAACCACTAAAAATAGAAACAGAGCAAACATGGACCTCTAAAACATCAAAGGTGGGATCAGGTGCAATGGGGGATTAAGCATCCCCTGCCGAATGGACACACCCGCCGATTGCTCCTATTTTAAATGTCATTTTTACTGGAGAACAGCAACACTTCTTAAAAATTGTGATTTCGTTTGCCAATTAATCAATTAATTATATTCATTAATATTCAGTCATACATTCAGAATGAAGGAGTTCTCCTTTTTTATGCTTTGTGATCAAGTTCAAGAAAAATGATTTGTAGGAAAAGTATCAAGATTTATTTGTAAATAATTTATGACTTTTTCTATTCACTCAATGTGCACACAAAATACCAGAAAACACACATTTGCAGGTTTAATTTTGTTTAACAAGAAAAAAAATGAATAAATAGATTATGCATTAACATGGTAAACAAAGCCTTATAGGCTTTTCTGGAAATGCTTATTATTTTGCGAAAGTTTTGAGAGGTTGCGCGGTGATATTCATTCGTAAAAAGTAATAAAACTTATAAATATCTGTTTCATTTTGTTTTCCGAGAAATAAAAAGATATTGATTTTAGATAATGCGGTACTCTACATAATAAATTGTTGTATTAGCAGAAACATGCGTTTTGTCGGAAATATTTAGCATTTTACAAAAGTATAATGTAAACATTAGACTAACCGTTTTTTTCTCTGAAATTATGAAACATATCCGTGAAGATGATCTGATGGTTTTTTGGGGTTTCATTTAACAAAAAAAAAAAAAAAAAAAACCCACCTTAAACGTATATAAAAAAATGCCCTTTGACCATACTACCGTTCCAGAAATATGTTTTATTTGAAAATAATACAAAAAGACGAGTACAGAAGGATTCTACTGAGGAAAATTAGATATTCTGAGGTTTATATACTCACGGAATAGTAAATTGTTTAAATGTTTCCTATTAAAAATGTTAACACAATTTAATCTTCAGTATAGTTTCGATTTAGTTTCCTTGAAAATGGAAGGATTTCTGAAAATAAAAGTTTGGAAGTGCGTTGATTTATTCGATGAAAATGTAATGTTTACAACATTAAAAATAAAGGGAGTGATGTGAAGATGTTAATAAGTACTATGCAACAAAACTACATATAAGCAAAATATATCCAGTCAAATATATACATTTTGTACCTATTTCATATGTTATTTATTTGATTGTTAAGGGATCATTTCCCTACACGGAGGAATACAATCTGATTTTTAAGCAACCAATGAAAACCGCTTTATTTATAGAAAGGGAAATTCCAAGGTTTATAAATAGAAAGACTATTTTTACATCCAACGTAATTTATGAATATTATATAAACACTGCGTAACTTTTGTCATAAATATTAACCAGATATCATTTAGTCCAAGAGGTAAGCTGCCACTTCACTTTATTTTATTTTTGTGCAAAAAAACACTTATACATGTAAGTTTTAACAGGTGTAACATCTTTTGTAAGCATTACATTCTCATAACTTTTTTTTTATTTTGAAATAATTACAGGAATAATTTAAGCTATGGGTTTCGACACAGACCGCTTAAGAATAGTCAGTATGAACGCTACGGGGCGGAAGGGAAGGCAGTATTACGACTTCCGACAGTCCAATTTACGGCAGCTGGTGGAGAATGAGAGTCCTGATATAATGTTCCTGCCGGGAGACAATCCAGGACCTGATACATTTACACATACCAGTTATCAACAACTACTGGACCCCACCAACAACGAGACGGTCCTCCTGTACGATTCCACACGACTGAAGGTCCATCAGCGACCGAATGAGCCACAGTTCACAATCCCTAACTGTGATTTTGATAAAGTTCTGACTCCCATTGTGGACATTTACTCACCGGCGCCGGCACAGAACATTGTTAAGCGATTCATCTGCGTCTCCTGGCATTGGGAACTGACTGCCACTGGAGGATCACAGGTTTTATACGAAAATGGACGATCCTACATGATGTTTGCTCAACTGCTCGCCTGGTTCACTGGTAACGAAGTTTTGATTGGAGGCGACTTTAATTTGCCGTTGACCAAAATCAACGAACTAATTAAAGAACACAACAGTCTGGTACAACAAGGCATCGACAGCTTAAAACCCATTTTCCAGCAGCTTGGTTACATGGATTGCATGACCGAAACAATACATCGGCCCGAACGAAGGCTGCGACAACTACGACTTCATAAATGTAAGAGTGCAAATACAACAGAAACAAATTTCTTTGTGGCCTCTAAAGAGATGCAACTGTTTGAGACCAGGCATGTCAAAATGGAGAGTCTGTCATATCGCTGCGCCGGGCTTCAGCTACAGACGAGAGTGGAGACTGATTACTGTCCAGAACCGACTTATACCAAAACCCAGATGTACATCCCGCAAAGGCCCCCAAAACACAATGGCGGATAGAGAAATGGAGATTTAAAATTTGAAAGCGATTTGAGAGTTATTTACTATTTATTTTGTACAATTAATTAATCCGTATGTGTCATGTAAATTTTGTTTGCAATTTAATCTTTCTATTGGCTATTTAATGGAAAATATTTTGATCATAATTAAAGTCATGTTAACGACTCTTGCGTTTAAACATTGTTATATACATGTACATGTACTTATCATTATAAAGTTTGACTCATGGAGGTTGTGACCAGTCAACACGAGATTCTTACTCGTAGTATGATTCTGATCCCATCTCTGAAAATTTAGGAATCCTTATTTTAAGCCCAGTTCTTAGATTTGTATAATAATAGATTCTGGGAGGTCGATCTCTATTCGTAATTTCCATCTTTTCATCCTACAACTTTTCTTCAACAGAAGTTTGTTAAAAGAGCTTTCTAATAGAGAAAAGCTGAATATTCTTATATTATAGTATTATATCTAAGATTCTTATATTAATCTAACGCCATCTTCTTTGCATCTTTACAGTGCTGTGTCTAAATCTTACTTGTACTGTCACGCAACAGAGTCATGTTTAATTTAGAAAGGTTCTGTTAAAATTTCACACGATGACTTGACTTTGAGTCCTCCTTTTCTCTTCTGCTTTGCAAAACATTTCGAACTAATTTGTTCATGATTCCTTAATTTTATGACAAACTAATAATATTCGGCATTCCCTTTTTCCTATTCGCGAAGATCATTTGAGGCATTAATCCTATTTCCTAATCTTCCTTGACATTGAATACAAATCAGAAGTAGAGCAAACACGGACTTCTAAAACATCAGACTTAGGGTCAGTTGTCATGGAGGTGTGTGCATAAACAGCTGACCGGCCACATCTGCCTTGTGGTTCTTGGCATAATAGGGAAATAACAGAATTCAATACGTAAACAATGATCTAACAATTGTCATTAAAACATCAGTCAGCATTGGGCTTAATGATAAAGTGTATTTGTTGATAAGAGCAACTTGCCAAATGACTTCAGACGAGACTATTCTTGTTTCATTAATTTGTTTGACAATGGCTGCTTTGTATTGAAAAATGGTCGTATGGCAATTAATTTGAAAAACACAAGACTACATAAGACTAGTACTTACCAATTGTATTTGCAAGCAATACTGTTACATAAACCAAAAAAGTTGAATTTAAAAGAGAATCTTGATATCCTCGTAAATTTAACTTATCAGTCAATAGTTTGCCTACTTATAGAAATTGTTCGTACATAAACCATGTTCTTGCGTATCGAATCGACTGAAAACATGAACTCTATAGGCAGGTGATTATGAACGTTTACTTCATGGACTATTACTACATAAGCTTTAAATACAATTCCTAGTTTGTTTTTGGAAACTCTCTAAAATTATTTGAAATTTGTACAAAAGAAGTTGAGTATAAAAAATAAAAAATAAGATATTTTCAATTTGAAGTGAGCTTTTGTAAAAAAAATATCATTTTATCATAATATTATGATACCATGCTGTTTAAACTGGTTTTGTTGATTAAGACGCATTACTACTATCAATACACTAGACTTTTATCATTGAATACGTAACATTATTTAATCTCGAAAGGTAAATCGACTGCATTCCTCTACTAAAAGATAAAATTGAGTCTTCAAAAATGTCTTCGCTTAAATTACTTTGCCTTGAGATATTTGTACTTCCATATGTTTCATCGGAATGTGATTCAGACAATGGACCACCAGGGTCTCCAGAGTGTGTTTTTATTTCAAACCCACTTTATGACAGAAACCAGTGGAGTACATGTGTAACAAACAAATACATGCAAACAGCTTCCAAAGGAAAGTTCTCATGTGTAGAGAAAAATGCAAAATACTGTTATTATCAGTGTATGCTGGAGGAACATAAAATTGAAATAGGTATGGTTTATTTTTGTTTTATGCAGTCCAACTCAGGAGCTTTAAAAGTGTATTATTATTTTAAAAATAGGACATCATTTTAAAAAATTTATTTTGATATTACATGGAGTGGGTCACGTGATCAAATTCTATAACGACTGAAGGGCGTTACTGTTGATTTGATCATGTACCGACTTCATGTCACATCCCAATGAAACTCTAAAATGATATTTTATTTCTAATATTTAAATTTTATTTTTATTTGTGTTACAAGACAAATAGACCCTATTTAGACTTTGTTATGGTAATGCAACATAACGTACCTACAACATCATATGACGTCACAATCGGGACTTTCGAAATGGCTTTGTTTTCCATGCATAATAATGTCTGATCATGTGACCTACTGCATGTAATTGAAAATTGAATTTTAATTTTTAATTAGTATTATATAAATATTAGATATGAAACTTATGTTTTCATTAAAAGGTAGGAACTGTTTCCAAAGACTGCGAGTGTAATAAAAACCAGGCCCTACCAATCAATGATCTTCCTAGCTGGTGTTACAGTCCTTCTGGAGATAATTGTTCCTGGTACACTCAATGTCTGGAGGTACTATTTTACTTGTAATAAATTGGTACATCATATATTGGTAAAGTATAAGACAAATGAATTTTATACTAAATGGGGATGAAAGGATACTTACTCCTCTATTCAACTGATTCCACCTCAGATATCAGATCGATTCTCATTTTGCATTTTTGGGAGTTGAACTATGTTCAATCTCCCATGGGCATCACGTATTTAACATGCGCAGTAATTTGTGTTGATTATATAGAGCCGAAAGCGAGGATACTGTGTCAGCTGATTTACTCCAATGATATTCAACAGAAAACATGCATAAACATCCGCCACAAATAGTTCCTGTCATTTTCTCCTGAATTGATGTAATTAACATAATATAAGTAAATGTAATGATAAAGTAATCTTATTTTGAATATTAGATTTCGTTCAAAGTAAAACTAAATTATAAAGAACCTCGAAAGTTTTTCGTAATGGAACTCATTTTGAGTGTAGCGTCCTACAATGAAAGAAATACGAACGGCAACTCTACAAACTGACGGCAAGCGGTAAATCAAGTCTTCTCGACGCCCGACGGTCCCGGATTTTTAGCAATTTCCTTTTTACCGGTGCACAGAATTTATTCAAACTTTTCATGAACATTTTCTTGGTTTAAATATATTCATTAATGCATAAAAACTTAAGGAAACATCCGAATTCATTACTAAATCAGCAGTATCACCTGCCAAAAGCGGTAAAACTAGTACTCTATTATAAATGTTAAAACTATAAATGGACACCGATGTTTTCGTAAAATCGCGATTAAAAATAACAAAATGAAGTATATATTTTTTTAATAAAAGGAAAGCCTCATTTGCAAACCAGATAATTTGTACGCACACAAACTCTCACATATACCACTGTTTTTTTTATGTTTGGTCAAAATATATTTGTTTTTAACTTGGTACTGCATTTTTCTTCACAATATTAAAAAAAGATTTAGTTCTGACGTACTCCATGTATAATGTTTGTGTAATTGAAATACATTTATATTCACAGAGAAGTTTTATGTAACAAACCTATTATCTCTTAACAGGATGCTGTGTTAAAATCCACATTTTATCAACATTGGTATTATTCCTGCGAAATCGAAATTTTCATAACACATGGTAAAGGTGCAAGGGAAAAATATATTTATTACAAATTTGTAACTGTGAGCAGTGAATTATATAAATGATCAACTGCCTCTAATATGAATATAATGGCAGTGTCCATGTTTTGCAATGGGAAACCCAAAATATGTGTAGGATGAAAAAGTAATAGAAGAAGCAAAACGGCAATATGTAATAAAGATTCTATAATAAATTTCGTTCAGTGGTGTAAGAGGAGTTGCGGAGATGGGTATACCTAAAGCGTAACAAACAGATGGAGGGAAATCCAGATTAATAAATACCCTCCCGCTTTAAATTTCAAGCAGGGGGTATAAAAAAAAGGACTAATGTAGACAGGCAAGCATAATGGCCCATGCATTGTTTTGCTATTGAATGTCTCTGACTGTCTTTCTCAAGACTGTTGCAACTCAAAAAATCTGAAACAGTTGTCTGTATTTGAAATAATAATATTGTTCACTCACTTAACCTCCTGATCATAGATTTTATTTTACACCATGTTCAACTCCCACGAGTGCTTTCAGTACTTTGATTTTTGTTTTTTGGCTACATTGCGATAGTATGGGAGGCATTCTAACTGTAGTGAGGGCTTGTACGGAGACACAGTTAGATAATTCTAACTAAGTGACAAACCATAGATCAAGTTTTTTTTAAAATTTGTTTTTTAACCATCTTAAATAAGCTGTTATGATCGCAGCATGCAAGTATGTTTCTGGTATGTAGAATTAATGACATTTAAACACATCTTATTTTGCAAGGCAGATCGACTTAATTCCAAGACATTTCCTTCATAAACTTGTAATAAACGTAAAGTTCAGATTTTGGGGCACTTTTTCAATAAACAGAAAATTATAAAAATGACATCCTAAGAGAAAAGGGAGGTCCGGTAGTGGGCATATACAGCTCAAAGTACTTTTTCAACTCACATGGTTTTTCGCACAAATTAAGGTAACAATTTTTGCAATTAAACTTAAAATTAACGAGCTTCAGCGCGAGAAATAATCCTTATACTAATGAATATTTTATGTTAAGGATGCATATTCTCTAACATCACTATCTTAAGTTTTAAAACTTGATGTTTCAAAAGGGAATGTGTTTATAAATTGTATGATATTACATGTGTATTATTCTACCATAGGTATTAACAAATTAATTGATCGAGCTTTCTTTGATACTTTTTAGTTGAAATGTTCAAATTGACCTCTTACAGATGAGTATTTTTTTTAAAGTACTTTGCTCATTTTCCGTAATTGTCTTGGTTTTGTCGAAATGCAACGCCGAAAAATTACAAAACTGCATAAAGAAATCATGTCAAAGGATAGGATAATAAAGTATTGATTTCTTTCAACATAGTAAATTGTTACTTTTGAAAATAAAATTCTTTTACATTTATGATCTGAAACTTCGAAATTTTTCGTTGGAAGGTATCTTTCATGATGCTAGATTTCAGAAAGTTTCAAGAAAGTTAACTTTGAAAAAAAACCCTTCTTTTTTACATGAAAAGCAATCGAACAGACAAGAAATACTTCTGTCATCTTGCGCCTTAGTGTCATATCAATGTACAGAAATACAAAAGTTACATAAACTGCACTGTTTCTGTATTTAGGCAAGGCAAAAGTTTACTTTAAAATGGACGGATACAAATAAAGACGGCTGCATTTGACGAAAAACCATGAAAAAATCATTTGGGAACTGTCATAAACTATCATCCAAAACATATAAAAATCCTACCAATTACTATGTGTGAATTATATCTAAGATAATGGAATAAGATCAAAATTAAGTTATAAATCACTTTTGAAATGTACTTTGTTGTCACGTTACACAATTTTGCATTACAACAATGTGACCTTAATTTGTGCGAAAAACCATGTGAGTTTGAAAAGTGCGTTAATCTGTATTGCTTATGCAATACTCTTAGAATGCTTGATTCCAATGGGGTCCTCACAGATTGTAAAGGTTCTACTTAAGCACTAGTGTTTTGATATAAATAAAAATAAATAAAACATAATTAAATGAGAAAAGATATTATAATAAGATGAAACATATGGAAATAACGAACAGTATTTCAGATCAAAAATCAATAAAACAATACAAAATAGGAGCGGAGAAAGCACGGGCCTCCAAAACATCAGAGGTTGAATCAGGTGCCATGGAGGAGTCAGCATCCCCTGCCGACCGGCCAACCCACAGTGTGCTCCTTGTCATGGTCGGGAAAAAGCGGGAAAATCCGACAACAATTCAGTTTGTAAATAATGGCCTTACAATTAGTATGAAAAAGATCAGTCAGCATTTATTTAATTGGATTTTAAACGAGGATTTTAAAATTTCTGTAACATCGATTTGTCAGTCAGTAGGCTGCTTCGGTTCAGAAATCATATTTTCAATGGCTTGTCGTATTAATTCAGTGTGTAGACACCGTATTTTTATAAGTACATTGTATTTGGTATTAAAAAAAACTGTGAAAGGCAAGGAGTATCTATAATTTTATTTTTCAATCACGATATAAGTATTGTTAATTCAACAATATTGTAGATTTTAACAAAAGGTCTGAACGCATTGAAATTCATAGGATTATCATGAGTTTCAAACTATAAATAATGTTAAAATAGATTGATTTGGAATTATGAATTTCAATATAGAAACACAGAAGCCATTGTTAAATCAGAATGTAGCATACAGGGCAATCTATTTAGAATATAAATTTACACGTGTTTTTATCAGTCTTAAAACATTTCGCGTGCTAATTGTGAAAGAGTTAGTTAATTAAGCTAATGAAAAATGTACCATTGTTCAGTATTTGACCAAACTGGTTCACACTGGGACTTGAATCCATATATTTATCGAAGGCAATAAAGCTAAAAGGACAATGTACTTTATATTTATACAAACATCATAATAATTTTCTTTCTATGTCACCTGCTGAGCAGAGACACACTTAAGGATAAATTTACCCAGTGTCTGTCTAGCTCTCCGCCCGTCTGTCTGTCCGTTTGACATACCTTTTTATTTAATTTCTTTTGAATTTTGAGTAACAGGAATTTGATAATTAACATTTATTTTTGAGATCATGACAACGTACTTTGATAATGTAGGATATAAAGAAACTAAAAACTTGAAATTTAGATACATATACTATGAAAATACATCTGCTGACAACTATGGTAAAGAAAGACTTACTTTTTTCAAAGGAGAGTTGAAAACGTTTTTATTAATAAATTGATAAAAAATTATTTGTAAAATTTCATAATATGTAATATTAAAATTAGCTTAGAAGAGTTGGGAATTTATCTTTCTATATTAGTTACAACTAAATAAAAAACTGATCAATCTTAGATTTATTTATATTTTTAATGAAGCTAAAAGCAGTTGACACATGCGTTTCTTGGAACACTCTAGTTTCTTCTCTTTTCTTGTTCTTTTTTTTTTAGCAAAAATTCCCTTGCCAAAAGATGCATCAAACATCATATGCCATAAACAATGGCGTTCGATTTTGCCAGCTTTATCAAGATCACTTTAAGCAGTTCTCAGCAGCAGGTCAGAAATGGATTAATGGTGTTCGTGGATGCTTACAAGTTGCACTAGTACCCTTGTTGCGTCCTTTTCGAAAAGTAACATGTAATGAAATACAAGAAAAAGCATTTGATTCTCATGTAGATTGCTATGTGAATCCCAATAAAGATGTGCCATCCTTTTGTTATTTACCAATCAAAGACATATTCAAAGCCCTTTTCACAGTAGGACCTGAACTTTTTTTAAATTGTATAAACAAACTATATCCGGAGGCATGTGAAAATATATTTGAATCAGCCAAACAACTGATGAACGTAGGATTTGTCAGTTGCCCCAGTCATGCAACTGATGATTTAATTAAAAATTTCC